ATACATCCTGGCTAAAAGAAGGGATTAATGGGGAAACAAGGACCCGAGCAGGGAAACAAAAATGTTAAAAAGTCATGTTCCCAGCCCTTAAATAACTAACTTAAAAAATGCAATGCACCAGTTGGGTACAGGGATAGTTACCAAGATAGTGGAATGCCACATACTGAAGTGATAAAAAAAGGTAAGTGAAAAGTTGGTTCCTCCTCCATGTCTACGGTCAAAAGATATAAATTTATGTCTGCCATGCAGTCTAGGAAGGGCTATTACAAAGATACCAAAACCTGTACTACGGAAGTACAGAGAAGGAAAAATATTGAAAGACTCAGGCAAGATTTCACAGAAGTAATAACATTTGAGTAGGGAGAGAGAGGTGAAGGACATTTTTCAGGGGTATAAAAAAGGAACTGATCTATGGAATTTGTCAAAGCATTCTGGGAAACTCAAAATCTATTTGAACTTTTCTAAATATCATATATACTACAAATTCTTAAAGAAAAATTCGTACAAAAAAAACCCCATACTAGCTGTAATAAAACCAATATTCATTTTTTTTATAATTTCTCTTATAAAAATATAATTCTTATATTAAGTCTTATATTACAGTCTACATTTGATTTAACTGCATGTCACTTTTACATATTTCGCCTGTGGTCAGTTTTGACCAAACAGGAAAAACACCACACCCCATTTCTATTCCTCTTCTCTTGAGACTAATAGCCAATTCCGTTTTATAATATGTTTAAAGCATTCAGAAGTCAAAATGTGTGGCATTTTCTACGTTGCCAATTCCATGTTAACTCAATGACATATTACCAGGTCAACAAACTCAAAATTAGAAAAGGCAATCCACTGGGATAAGAAATTTGCCAAATCTTATAATTCAAAAAGAAACTGCTAAAGATGGTTGTGGGGGTTTTGGCACTGTGAGTTGAAGCCCTTCCATAATAAGGCTTGTATTTCAACTAATCAGCTAGTCGGAAACTATAAAAATTTTGTTGGTGGGGGGGAATTAAAATTTGGATTGTAATACACGAGTCTTTCCTTCTCTTCCATATGTTTCAGTAAATTAAAACTTCTAAGTCTTGTTTTTTTTTTTTTTAAATGCCTTTTAAAAAATAAAGCAGCCTGTAAAATCATATTTTTGGTACAGGAAAGTTAAAATATTCAGGCTTGAAATGAAGAAGAAAAAAAGAACACATGGTTTCTATATCCAAAGCAGTGTCATGGTCTAGGTATATCCAGAATTCAGTACATTTGAGCTTTCATCTTTTTTTCCTATGCTAAATGACTTTTTTAAAAAAAAATCAGGCATCTTAAACTTTTATAGATTTTTTTGAAGGTGGCCATTTATCAATCTAAAGATGTTTCCATTTAAATGCTGTAAGAACATCTCAAGGACAGTAGCTGAGGCATGAGGTATATGTGAATTCTGTTCTTTTTTTTTTTTTTGTGAATTCTGTTCTTAAGTGCAACTGTGTGAATTACCATCCTATTAGAATAGGAAAAGATTTTTATAAGGTAAGACAATTTTTTTTCAACTAGTGATCCTGTAAATGGCAGAAAAAGCAACTTATATCCTCCAATTCTGAGTAATGTTCTCCTTTTCCTTTCTCTCTTCTTTCCCTATTGGGCCTTCATATTAGTTTCTTTCATATCTTTTTTTTTCATCTTCATTTGCATATGGAAAGATTTCCTCATCTTTATTCTCCTATCCTTTATTTATTTATTATTTATTTATTTAGTAATCTCTACATCCAATGTGGGGCTTGAACTCACAATCCCGAGATGGAGTCCCATGCTCTACTGACTGAGCCAGCTAGGTGTTCCTATTCTCATATCCTTTAAATGAACATTGTTTGCCATCATATTTTTAATTTCTAAAGGTTGTCTTGTTTTTTGTTTTTTCATTATGTTTTTATAGCATCCTGCTTTATAAAATACTCTGTTACCATCTTTAAGGATTTATTTTTTTAAAAGCTTTATTTATTCGTTTGAGAGAAGGAGAGCGGGCAAGCAAGTACAAGCGTGGGGGAGAGAGAGAAGCTGAGCAACGAGCCCAACACAGGGCCTCGATCCCAGGACCTCGGGCTCATGACCAACTCAAAGGCAGATGTTTATTTTTTATTTTTTTATTTTTTTATTGGAGTTCAATTTGCCAACATATAGCATAACACACAGTGTCCATCCCATCAAGTCCCCCCCTCAGTGCCCGTGACTGGGTGAAAGGCAGATGTTTAACCTGACTGAGCCACTCAGGTTCTCCTACCATCTCTAAGGATTAAATTTTAAAAATTCTTCGTTTCCTCTACTTTCCTTCTCCTAATAATTTGCTTCAGTTCCAGTCTTCTACAGTGGTGGCTTTCTAAACATGATCCAAGATCCTTAGTTGCCCACTGTTATTAAAAGCTACTTAATCAAAGCTGAATGGAGTTCCTCAGCTATAGGTGTGCTTCCCCAATGGCAAAGATCCACTTTTGTGCATCCGGTTTAGGGAGCTAGCTGTTTATAAGTGACCTCCACATGTAGGTATACAGATTTCTTTTCCCTACAGTGATTCAGTTTCTTCAGATAAGAATTCAACAATTTCCTGGGAGGTAGGGTGCCCATGGGCACGTGGGTGGTGCTGGGTGAGTGTAAACTCTGTGCTGTTGGGTTTTCTGCTTGCATTGGGGGGGGGGGGAGGGTACTGACAACCTGTGTACACCACTGGAAGACATGGAATCAACCTTTTCGGTCCTCTCTCCATTTCACCTTTGATTGTGCAAGCTGTTCCTCACTCATGAACCTCTCTTATTCAATTGCTCTGCCACTATAAGCCTTCTTTTCCCTGTGCCTTGGAGGGGAGAGCCTGGTTGCTGGCATCGTGCACAGGAGAGGAGAGACCTAACTGTTCCAGATGGTTTACAGCTGATTAGCCCATTTAACAAAGGCTCCTTAACTCACTCTCTCCCATGCCAGCTGCCATCAAGTCTTGAGTCTCTCTGGGTTTCGAGCACGCAAGATTTCTTTGCATTGTTATCCATTCCAAAGCCTCTTCCTATGGTGGACGCCGTCTGACAAATCGGTAGTCTTTCCACTTTCTGACTTCCAAAAATCAGCTAAATTTCATCTCCCCCACCATTCTGATTGTTCAGGTGAGGCTATTCCCTTCTCAATATTCTATTCAATATTATAAATATTTATAATATTTATGACTATCATTCCTTATTTAGCCACATGATCACCATTTCTTTGTTCACCATTCTGTTTGCAACATACTCAGCAGCTCCTTCCAGATTTAATTGTGTGCCTTTGAAAGACATCTTCAGCAAGAGTTTTTAGTGGTCCAATTTTTATTTAATTTCTTCATCTGGGAATTTCATCATCATGCAAGTAAATTCAAAACTCAAAGCCTGATATAGGGAGGTCAGTAGTGCAGACTCATTCCTTCTCCATTCATATCCCGTGCTGGGGCAGGCAAACCTTCATGTGACCTTCTTAAATCAGTATGCAAACTTATTCTAGATTATTCTTTCACTGAAGGTATAAATTTTCCTCCTTTATTTAGGTATCTAATCCCTGGCCTTCCATTGGGATTCTCTCTTATTCCAGCAAGAATGAATACAAACAGAAGTCCATTCTCCCTGGTGACCACAACTAGTAAACTTTTTTGGGATAGTAAACTATCCAAAATCAGCTGTAGATCAGCCAACTGTTTACTGTTCTGGCATTCAGTTACCCCTCATTTCTGGCTCCTAGGAAATTGTCTCACTCCTTTCGAGCTCAGCTACACATCAAGAGTATATCTATTTTATTAAGCATATCTAGACATATTTTAGTGGTTTATTTTCTGGGGAATGAGTCCGCCTACATAATTTAATAGCACTTTAGGGCAGCCGAAGTGACTCAGCGCTTAGTGACACCTTCAGCCCAGGGCCTGATCCTGGGGTCCCAGGATCGAGTCCCACATCAGGCTCCCTGCATGGAGCCTGCTTCTCCCTCTACCTATGTCTGTGTCTCTGCCTCTCTCTCCCTCTGTCTCCCTCTCTCATGAATAAATAAATAAATAAAATATTTTTAAAAAAATAGCACTTTAGTGGTACCTTCAAATGGATGCATTGTAATTTTAGGTGTTTAGTCTACCATCTTCTGTAGAAAATAAAGTATTATTACTTTTAAATAATTATAAGATCTTTTTCTATGAATTCACTTCAGAGTTACTTTCCTGACCATCTGTTCTATGCTTTTCTGGGAGTCATGTATTTTAATTAATATTGAAGTGAGATTAAGTGATATAACTAAAACAGCACAGATAACAATTCAGATTAGCTTTGAAGGCTAGTTCTACTACTTATTATCAGCTGGATAAACTCAGAAAATTTACTTATTTAGTTTCAGCAATCCCCTAGAGTGCAAAATAAGACAGAAAGATTATTTGAAAACACACAAAGTCACAATGGTAGGATGCCAGCAATTTCTTACGCTTCAGACACACACCACCTCCATGAGAATGCGGCCTCCGAGACTGCTTGTCATGTAGTGGGTGGCCAAATGATGGCTCCACTTCCCTTAAGGAATGATCTCCATTTAGGAGGAATTCCAGGTGACACTAGTTAACACACATGCAAAGCCTCACCTGATGCTGGCTATTAGGAAAGAATCAGACTTTGCTCTACACTGTAGCCGATTTGGGGTTAATGGTGGTTTGTAGAACCTAATCTTTATACAAATATTGTTATTATAACAAATTCATTATGTAATCCATATTTGAGATTCACTGTTTCCATTTTTCCATTAAATTACACCATGGGTCATGACATACCACAGTTTATCTGTGGCAAGCCCCAAAGAAATACACTTTACCACATGTTCTATACGGAGTTCTAACAGTGTTACTACCATCATTATCTCCTAACAGTCTGAGTTAACTGGCTGAGAACCAGTACCTTAACCTCTATCCATCTCAGTCTGCATGGAAAAAACCAGCTTCAAAAGGGTGAGGGAGGAAGGCAGTTACTCACTGTTAGAGCTAGCAGTTTCCCATACGTAAGATGAGCAGGGATGTGGTCAGTCTTGGATCTCAGGGATTCCATATACCAATGCTCTGCTTCAGGGAGTTTGCTTAATCGCATGTATGCTTCACCTGGAAAGAAAGTCACGAAGATCAACCTGAGGACACAGCTTTCCAACAGCTGCAATAGCGTCACATCATTGTGTTTACATTCCATGGAATTTCAGACGCTGTAGCAAGGACTTTTACCCATTATCTCATCTGAATCCCAAAAAGTCATCAGAATTTCCATTTTACAGATAGGAAACTTGTGTTTGGAGAAATTAAGTGAAATGGCTAAATTAAAAAATCTAGTAACTAATAAAGCTTTGATTTTTAACCTAGTAACACTAGACCCACAAGCATAGGTCCTTTGTCTTTTTCTTAAAGATAGGTTTAGGGGCACCTGAGTGGCTCAGTTGCTTGAGCATTTAATGCTTGATTTCCACGCAGGTCATGATCTCAGGGTAGTGAGATCAAACTCCACACTGGGTTTGAAGGGGTGGGCATGGTCTGCTTGAGATTCTCTTCCTCTCCCTCTGCCTCTTCCCCCTGCTGCACCCTCTCTCTTTCAAATAAATAAATCTTAATAGAAAGAGAAAAGTTTGCTCTTTCTTAAGTACAATTTGTGCTTTTTTATTGATATTCATTTATCCCTTTAGATATTCAAGTATTTATAGGATGAATACTAAGAGAGAATTATGAAGACCTTGACAAAGAAGTTTAAGGTCCTGCCAAGATTTACAACACTGTTTGAGAAAATAAGATTAGTTGAAGGAGTTAGAAATATTTTGGATTAAGCACTGGCACTAGATTTTTTTTTAGAAATTATTTGCATTTTATATTTTAATAAAACTTATGAGTATCATTTGGAAAATCCACTGAATGTATGACAATTATTTAGCATGCCCAGTACCATGTACAAAGCTATTCTGAAGATCCTCAGCCATCAGTTATTACTTTCAAGTTATGCAAATTTTACCTGTCAAAGAGCATTTCACCAACAGCCAAGCAAGAGGAAAACAAAACAAAACAAAACAAAAAAAAAAAACAAACTGGAAATAAAGTCAAACGTATATCACTTGTCTACTTATTATTATCATCCCCCCTCCCTTATTTGCTTATACTATGGATGAGTATTTACCTGATAAGAGTATTATATTTTAAGGTGATTTGTGCATTTAAGTTAAGCATTATAGGTTTAATAAGCACTGCAAATACAGAAGCTACTCAATTTCTAAGAACAGATAAAAGACCAGTAACCTGAATTATTTGTCAAGCAGACCTTTATAGCTTAAGTAATCATAATCATGATAGCTTTTGCTGTTTAGAGGCATAATCACAAGCTTTTCCTAAATGTATTGCCCACATTGGCTATACATCTTTGCTTCAAGGAAGAACTAGCTTCCTTTTATTTTAATCAAATTCTCTTTGTATTAGCACAGTGCTATCAATACAAATATGTTTGATAAATTGAATTGATCTGAGTCTCCTGACCTTTTGAGTGCCTTTTGCTTGGCTCGTTAGTAAAAAATACTGTAATATGCACAAAAATGTATATACCACTCACACATATCTATGTGTTTCTACTTCTCAGAACAGTTCTTAAAACTAGCCTGTCATAAAAACGATAGCTGGAATTTTTTTCTCTTAATCTAAAGCTTAAAGTGTATTTGCATTTAAGAAGAATTTGGTTAGATTAAATAGAATGCTCGGGTGCACTGCAAGAAATACTGAAGCAAAGACCAAAGCCTGGAATGGAATACACAAAACACAGTTGTTGGTAGGATTAAGCTTGATTTTTTTTTTAATTTTCCTATTTCTGTAATCTTGTATTATTATATCTCTATAAAAATGAAAACATTGCCATAGATTTTTTTTTCCTTTTTGCCATGTTGAGCTAACAAATGTTTCCCCAAAAAAGCAAACAGCACTTTTTTTCCTAGGGAAAGTGAACCACTTCTTCATTCTAAAACTACACTAGATATGCTTTACATAACAAAGAATGCAATAATCCCTACGGTATTGATACATTTAAAGTAATTAATGACAAGTTACATATTATACCCCAATTATACCCAAATATTGATCTCTAAAGGGGATTCTAAAGCCAGTAGAAAACATAGACTAATTTAGGAGTTAAGCTGAATGATGGGAGGGATTACAGATTCTGACTGGAATCGGCCTGAAATTGTTCTTTGGGTACAGTGCTCATAGGTCAGCTTTTAGAAGCTGTACCATCATTACCTTTAATATAATTTCTACTTTTCATTTATAAAAAATTCAACTAACTTGTAGAATAGTAAACTATAGGCTTTCTGTAACAAAAAATGTGAGAGAATCCCAATTTCACAGTGATTCTGAGATTGAAATCTGTGTATGTAAGTTGTCTGAAAATCATTTCAGAAAGTGTTCTATTTTTTCCAGTCTTACAGCTATTACTAAAAGCTATTTTGAAATGAAATATTAACTTGCTAAATAATTAGTGGCTGGCCCATTTTCTTCAGAAAGGACTCAGAAGTAACTTGTTAATTTGAAAACTTGTGAGATGGGGAAATAAGAAAGGGCTGTAAGGAATATAATAATGCATCATGGCAAGTATATGAAAAATGTAAATGACCAGCCTACTTAGGTCCTACTCATTACTACTCAGAAAAACTTCAGATAACCATTCATTGTGTCTCAGTAATAACAATGACGATCATTCACTGACGATTATGCATTAGGGTAGCAAGCCATAACGGGCTAATGTCTGATTTATGAGCACCTTCTCCTCTCATTCTCTACCTTTGGGCATGTAGAATGTTCTCTCACTCAGTCCCACGAGGAGCCTTCACACATTACTCTCATTCAACCACTACCAAGTAACTGTTCAGATTAGGTTTGCAAGATGAAATCATTCAACATCTGTATTAGTTGCCTTATCCATGACTCTCGTTTTTTATTAAGGAATGTCTTTACCTGGATTTTACAGATGAGGACATTGAGAAGCAGAGTGGCTAGATAAAACACACAAAGTCATAAATGTAGGAAGTGGTAAAGCTGGAATTCAAACCCAGGACAACCTGACCTCAAATCACACTGCTTTAACCTGCTGGTAGGGAACAATCACAAACTTTTCAACTCTCCCGTGCAGGGGAAAATTATACTCTTTCTCATTCCTAGAAAATTGTTTCCTAGCCTTGTGATACATTGACCATCAAGATCATTTCATTTTGCCTTGGGCTTATCTACTGAATTAAAGGAATAAGGGAGAACAATAATAATCTATAGTTGACCTTTAAAAATGCTTCTGCTGCATATGTTACTCAACTCTTAAGAGGGAAATATGTATCCTATAAGATGCACTTGAGTTCTATGGTTAATCTTAACACAAAAAGAGCCTATAAAAACGGTAATAAAATCAAGATGCAAACCCTAAAATGCAAGAAAATGATAATGGGCAAATTTAAATGTGTTTTAAAAATGACTCAATAAAGATATAGGGAAAAAACAATATACGGACAAGAACTGGATATAGTCCTGGCACAGACAAAGTAGAAGCTTCTCATTTCTCACTTCTAATTCATACTAGGGGTCAGAATACTCATTTTATGGCTGAGGAGGGAGGCTCATGAGAGCTAAGTGACTTGCACAAGGCCAGTTAATAATCCTATTCTAGAGCAGCCCAGGTGGCCCAGCAGTTTAGCTCCGCCTTCAGCCCAGGGCGTGATCCTGGAGACCCGAGATCGAGTCCACCACGTTGAAGAGGGAGCCTGCTTCTCCCTCTGCCTGTCTCTTCCCCCCGCCCCCTCTCTCTCTCTGTGTCTCTCATGAATAAATAAATAAAATCTTAAAAAAAAAGAAACCAATTCTATTCTAAAAGGTCAGAATGGCTCTAAAGCCCATGCTTTTCTCCATGGCATCAGGCTGCCTACCATACAAAGTTTATTATTTATCGAATACCTACTAACATCTTGAATATATTTATACTTTTATATTATCTGTACACTGTAATTTACATCAGTCCCATTTCACAAATGAAGAGGCTGTGGCTCATTGAGACTAAGCGATTTGTTCAATATTCAAAACTAAGCAAACTCCAGATTCAGGATTCAGGTTAGAATTCTTTCTGGTTCTTTCTACCATACCATTCTGTCCAAATACTATAAAAAAATAATTAGAGAGGAGATAAAATAACTGTGAAAAGTGCCACCGGTGGATTCAGTTTTAGGAGAGAATGACATATATGTAATTCTTCAAGCTTGATTAAAATACTAAAATCATAAAAATAACATGAAGGAAATGGCCACAGGAAAAGAAAATTTTACATTCAATAGGGAAGGAAATGAAAATACTTGATCAGGAATAGGGTGGAGAAAGGAGGGTTAAGTTATCTTCTCTGGTACTGTAATTCTCCTTGACTTACAAGAATAGAAAAAAAAATGTTTAGAGCACCCAGGAGGAAAGAAGCAATGATGACTATTTTTCCTTCTTATTCTGCAGAAAAAAAAAATGACATAATAGAGGCACTTTCATAAGAATGAGAAGATTTGCTGTGATGATGTAGTGATGAGGTTCATCACCCAGATTTATTCCCGATTCCCTTGCAGACAAAAGGGATTTGGATGTCTCCAGGCCGGCTTCAAGCAGATATAAACCAGTTTCAGATGAAGAACAAATAATGTCACTCTTCCTCCCTAAAAAGCCCTGGGTCTAAATAACTCAGCCAAAGGCTAACTCCTTAAAGGAAGGAATGCTGGATTATTGATGATGTAATAGATCAGATCTCACTGATTCTCATGTTTCAAGTTACTGGACAGCTCTGCTTACAGATAAAGGATAGAGTATGTAACGGGCCATAGTACCCATACTTGCTAGAGTTACCTTTTGTTTCTCTCATCCCTGCTCGATCGTATATCTCTGCGTTAAGATTCAGTTTAGATTCTCCTTTTTTTGTCTTGCCATTTTGTTGAGATATAATTAACCATACAACTCTGTGTGAATTTAAGGGGTAGATCACAATGGCTCGATTACACATGCTGTGAAATGATGACCACATGAGTTCAGTTAACATTCGTCATCTGACATATATTTTTTTAAAAAGAAAAACA